AATCTCATTGCCATGAGAATTTAAAATGCTGCTCAGATTCCTCACATTCAGCAGCTCTGTAGGGAAGTCCCAACTCTTGTAGGTTAAATTCCCACCTAGTTCTTCCTGAGTCCAGACCCAGGTAGCTTTCTTGCAGCTGGTTCCATTCTACTGGTTATGTACCCCTCAGTGGGGGTGGCTGAATCAATAGTAGAAGATATATATATATAGATATAGATATAGATATAGATATAGATATTGAACTTCCTAGGGACTTAAGTCTTCAACCTTGGTAGCAAGTATCCCTACTGGGTGAGAAATGTTTCTATCCCACTGTATTAAGTATCTGAGAGATTTCTATATTGTTTCTATAATGAAGATACTACGGCATGTTTTCACTAACTATGCATAAGATTTCCCTTCTTGACATTTAGTTTTCATTTGTCTTTTGATCTAAGCATTATAACTAGAGTGCAATAATACTTCATTTCAGTTTTACTTGCATTTTTCTGATTATTAGAGAGAGTGAGTATTTTTTACATGTTTTTGGCTCTTTGCATGCCTTATTTTGAAAGATGTATATTTAAACCTATTGTCTCATTTTAAGTCAAATTACACGTGGACTTTTTACTATTGAGCTGTTTTAGTTCTTCATATAATCTAGATTTCAACCCCATCTGGTGTATAGTTTACAGGTATTTTCTTTCATTTGATAAAGTTATTTCTCCACTCCGTTGATTATTTCCTTCGCTATATAAAAACTTCTATCTGACATACTATTTGTATATTTTTAGCTTTGGTGCTAATGCTTTGGAAGCATTACCCAGGGAAGCTTCTCCAATCCCGGTGTCATGCAGGATTGTGGATTTCTTCAAGGAACTCCATATTTCTGCTCGCACATTTTTCTTTATTCCGTTTGCAGTTGATACTTTTCACACCTGCTGAGATAAGGGTCTAGCTTCACTCTGCACAGATCCATTTCCCCAGTCCCCTTTGCTGAAAATGCTATCATTTTTACCAACACTGATTCCAGAAACCTTGCTGAGGATAGGTCAGCTGTACATACAGATGTGCCTTTACTTCTTGATTCTCTTTTCTACTGAAATGGTCTTAGACCTTGTTCCTATGCCAATGCCTTGTGTTTTGATTATGCTTGTTCTGTACTGTATTTGAAAACTAGGTAGCATAATGTCTTCCGTTTTGTTCATATAATTCAGTATTTCTTTGGCTGCTTGAGTTGTTTGTATCTGTAAGAATTTGGGGGATTTCTTTTTCTGTTCTGTGACGATTGTCACCAGCATTGATTAAGACAGGACTTCACTGCCTAGTCTTGACGAGTCTTGAGCACACCATGTAGTCCAGAGGAACTCGTGAACCTCCTGGTTTATCTTCCCAAGTGCTGAGATTACAGCTGTTTACCACCACACCATGTATGTCCTCGGTATTTGGTAGGAATTGCCCTGAATCTCTAGGTTGCTTTGCGTGATACGCATACTTAAATGATTTTTGACTCTTCCTATCCATAGATATGGAAGGCACTTTAATTTGTGTGTCCTCTTCAATTTCATTAACTGATGTTTTGTCATTTTCATTGTGAAGACTTTTTAGTCCTTTGATTAAATGCATTCTGGTGTTTTGCTTTGTTTATGTAGCTATTGTAAATAGGGCCGCTTCCTTAATTTCTTCTCCAGATGTTCACAAATGGAATACGACAATGCTGCTAATTTTTCCATGCTGATTTACATGCTGCAATTTTGATGAACTTGTTTATTAATTCTAGCAAATTTTGGTCGAGAATTGAAGGTTTTCTGTACAGATCAGGTCCTCTGCAAACAGGGACAATTTGACATCCTCTTTGCCAGTGTGAATGTCTTTTATTCCTCATCCCCTATTTGTTCTAAGTGAACTCAGTTAAGCCTTAGGGTCCTCCCTTTAGATTGTAATGACCTCATAATTTTAAAATATGTCTTAATAATTTTTATGCATATATATAATTTATTCTACTGGTTATGAAGCTCCATTAAAATAAAGACAGTTTCTTTCGCATCTTTATTCAAGACATGGTATCTGAAGGATTCTAGATAGAGATTCAGAATTAGGGAAACGTGCAAGAGTTCCAGACCTCTCAGTCTTTCCTACATTTCAATAGGTGGCCAAGTTTGCCCACCTTTCTTCCTGAGTTGCTCTTGTATGGTCTATTCTTTTATCCATCATCTCCTATGACTTCTACTTAAATCAGTTTTCATTGGAAAGTGCCAGGCAGTGTATCTAGCTGCAGTGAGCCATAGGGTGGCTAAAGATTGTATCCAATCAGTTCTTCCGGGACACTATAAACAGTCCTTGGGCCAGGATTGAGGCAGGCACAGGTTTATTAAACTGTTGTTTTAACAAATACCATGTTGTTCTGAGAATTTGCATTCCAATCCAACATTTAGGCTAGTATTGAGTGACTGACTTTTTCTTTTATTATAAACAACACACTTCAATGCCCTCCCCCATCACTCCTCTCTTATGCCTGTTGCCTACATTGATAAGTCCTAGCCAGCTTTCAAAATCTAGCTCATGGAGCTCAACTTTCTAGAAATCTCTATGAGAGATGATCAGAGGCTAGCTATAAATTCTTCTATCTTGTTCTTGATAATGCATCTTTTGATTTAGAAGTCTCCCAAGTTTGGATTGACAGGCTCCAGGATTGCCCCACCTTCTATGAAGGGAGAGCTTTGCAAAGAGCAGGGGCTGTCCCAGCTGTCTCCATAGCCTTCAAGTATTGGCACAAAACAAGCATTCAGAACATATTTTTGTACTTATCTTATGACTATCCCCAAGTGAGAAATGCAACCACTTCTCAAGACCCAAAGATGTGTTTGTCTCAGGCTCCGCCCGATAACTCCGCCAAGAAGTCAGGGAGTGGCAGCCAAGGCTCCTGGTCAGGGAGTGCAGAATTGGTTCTTTGTGGACTACTCAAAGCGTGAGGCAATAGTGACCTCTTCATTCGCTCGCTAAAGAAGGGAAACTCTCAGGTCTCGCCAAGTGGCCTTGCAGATACTCCTCCATGCAGATGAAGCACTCAGTGAAAGCAAATTGGGGGCAGGTATTTCAGAGGTTAGCTTGAATGCGGGTGGCAGGCAGCTCACGTTTGGTGCTGCCCTGTGTTTCCAGCGAGAGGGAAGAGGAAAGGAAAAGACTACAGATTGAGGTAAGAAGAAACAGAATGGAAAGGAAGCATTGCGTTCTATCAAGAGGAGGTGCGCATACACGCCATCCATTAAAGGCCAACATAAAGGAAATGAGAGCCAAGATCTGAAGAGTTTTTGCTCCCGATCTTTTATTGATAGCATCCATGGAGGTCACCTTCCTACCCTTCCTCTTCTTCTCCCCCTTCCCTAAGTCTGTGACAAATGTATTGATCTTTTAAGATCATCTCTAAAGCAGAAAAAAAAAATTAACAAAAAACTAAGCCTGCGTGGGCATGATTAAGGACCAGAGGTTAAAAACAATCAAAAGCCATTTGTGAACTATATACACAGCTACAGTGGTTAAATTCATTAAAAGGCGTCTAACTACAGAAGTTACATTTCTGGGCAGTTTTCTTTTTAAAGTATAAATTCTGTATATCCCTAGACACCTCAATGTCAAAACTTAGAATCTAATTTCAATACTGCTGATCAGAGAAAGAAAACGGAGAGAATAAAAAGCCATACCAATCTTTAGGTTTAATTTTTTTTCTTTCTGGGTCATGAATCTGGAGGCCCCTTCTCCGTATCACCTCTGGAAGAACAAGCTCAACATGCGGCTCGCTGATCTGATGCGGACAGAGAACCGTGTGCAGGACTCACGCCAAAGGAAAGCCGGCTCAGCTGGTCTGCGATACCCAGACTGACTTTCTACAGCGGTTAAATCGCCCACACAGCTCTTAAACCGCTCCCCTAAATGCTATCAAAACAGAATCGTGCGGTTGTTTTGTCAGCAACAAAGGAGAGCTTACTCTCTTAAACAAGCAGCTCTTCGCTGTTAATCCTGGGTGCAAGCCTGGGAGTGAGCACGGCCCACAGGCTAGAAAACTGACTCGGGAAGCCTTTTGGCCGCGGACCATCTCTACTATTGGATTCTGCCAGAAGAGCTTTAGGTCTAGAATTCACTTTTTGCTGCAAAGCCTGGGGGCAGGCGGGGCGGAGGGGAAGGGGGGCTAGGTATTACATGAAAAAAAGAAAAAAGAAAAAAGAAAAAAGAAATAAAAAGCAAGAGAGCGGTCCACACGGTTATGCAGTCATCTACATGATAGCACTGTGATTCAGAAAGGACCAGAGGTCAGACCTGATTCTTTCTTCTGACCTCATTAATTAATCTCTAGAAGACCTTGTGTTAATTCACATTAACCTTGACATCTTCTGAGCTCATCCCTAAAGTGGAACCCTTTTCTCTACCTCGTTCACATGCTTCTGGGGAGACTCAAAATACAAATTTCTGAACATTTTCATTTCTGCTGTCATTCCTGATGTCTTCTGAAGAATAAATAATTGATGCAAACAGAATGAAACGGGTGTGTGCAGGGCCTGTAACCTTTTTGATGCGAGGAACCAGCCTCTAGTGAACTCCGATTAGACAGGAGGGTTCATCTGTTACATGAGACGAAAACTGTCTGAGGACTCTTCCAACTTTCAGATTCAAACTTTCTTGTTTCTTCTAGGTGCCCAGTTGAGGTATAAGGATTAAAATAATAATAATAATAATACTTACCAGAAGCATTGCATGTTCTCTCCCATCTGAGGGTCCTTGCTCCAAAATTTCAGATGTGAGT